CCGAGGGAGGCCTCCCAGGATGAAGTGGTAAAGAGAAAGGACAAGGACCCGGTCCTGTTGTTTCTTTTAAATTTTGTTATATGGAATTTTTCATGAGAAAGTTTTTTAGCAAGGGACCATTTACATGCACTTCCCCTGGATTAAGGACACATATCTCTACCACACAGGACACACCATAGTTTCATGTTTGATACCTATTAAGAAGCTGATTGTGGGGCTGGAGAGATGGTTCAGTGGTTAAGAGCACTGGCTGCTCTTGTAGAGAGCTCTTGCACAGGACCCAGGTTCCATTCCCAGCACCCACATGATATCTAACAACCATCCATAACTCCAGTTCCAGGGGATCTGACCCCCTCTTCTGACCTCTGTGGGCATTGCATGACACAGGTGCACTTACATACATGAAGGCAATATACTCAAACATATAAAATAAAAATATAATAATAAATAAAATATTACAAGAGGCTGGTTGTGGCCTACTATGCTGGAATGTATCCTGAGCTTTGAAAGGCCTCTAGTCTGATTGGGGAAAGATGATTCAGAAGGTGACCAAGGGACTGACATCAAGAATTTCAGGGTATCAAATCACTTGTCTTTCACATGGGGATTATTTACAAGGGAAATGGCACTGAACAGACATCATAGCCTTGTCAAGGTCTGAGAGGTGAGAAGCTGAGGGCATCCGTGAGCAAGTTTCTTTGAGAGCTATTATAGTGTTGTTTCCAGGACTCTGAGGCCTTCTCTTGGGGAAGGGCCTGGGAGGCAGATGTTTGCTACCTTTTAAACATAGGCCTGCCAAAGAACTTCAGGAGGCTTCCTCTGTGGGCATTGCATGACACAGGTGCACTTACATACATGAAGGCAATATACTCACACATATAAAATAAAAATATAATAATAAATAAAATATTACAAGAGGCTGGTTGTGGCCTACTATGCTGGAATGTATCCTGAGCTTTGAAAGGCCTCTAGTCTGATTGGGGAAAGATGATTCAGAAGGTGACCAAGGGACTGACATCAAGAATTTCAGGGTATCAAATCACTTGTCTTTCACATGGGGATTATTTACAAGGGAAATGGCACTGAACAGACATCATAGCCTTGTCAAGGTCTGAGAGGTGAGAAGCTGAGGGCATCCGTGAGCAAGTTTCTTTGAGAGCTATTATAGTGTTGTTTCCAGGACTCTGAGGCCTTCTCTTGGGGAAGGGCCTGGGAGGCAGATGTTTGCTACCTTTTAAACATAGGCCTGCCAAAGAACTTCAGGAGGCTTTTCAGAGACCTGAGAGCTGTCAACAACTTGGATGGGGCCTTGCTGGGCCTCAGAAAGCTCTAGTGTGTGGATGACACCGGCTGCAGGAGCCTGGAGGAAACTGCAGGAACCTGCAGGAACCCTGCTGTGGTTGGCGCTGCAGTGTGCTGCTGCTGTCAGGGCTTGGCCCCTATCTAGACTCTAGACAGCTGCCCAGAGGTTTCCCACAGACCCAGGGTGGGCAAGCAGAGAGCCAGGATGGATCACTACAGCAGGGCTGCCTGGAGGGATGAGTCTTGGCAGGAGGAGGCTGGGTGGACCCCTGGGTGCCTATGGACAAGGGAAAAGATCACCAGGGATCCTGGAAAAGAGGGCATCTCTTAGGATACAGCTCACAGAGGTATCCCCTAACCATCTACCAGGTCTGGAGAAGCCACCCACCCAGGCACTCTGTCTGCTCCTATCATTGGACATGCTCATGTCAGACAGAGACTGTGTATATGGGAAAAGTGACGATAGGCTACTGTTCTGTTCCCCAAGCAGAAAAGCCATGGGCTCTGCCTGTCCTCACCCAGGGCCAAGGAGGAGACCACTGAATGAGGCTGAACATGGTGGTGAGGGCAACAAGACAGGTTTCTGTTATATCAGGGTTGTGTTCGCAGGCATTTGTGAAGAGGGTTGCGGTGATGGAAGGTTCCAGGAGTGGAGTCAGTGGTAGGGAAGGGGCTGTGCCATGTCTGGGAAGGTTCCCAGAGAAGGAACATTCAGGAGAGCCCTGCCCTGAGCAGAAAAGCAAAGAATATTCTGGATAGAGGGAGCAGCAGCTGGTGAGGCTGAGGAGGGAGAGCCTGGAGCCTTGGGGGCTGGAGAGATGTGGTTACAGAGGTTGGCAGGGATGGAGGCCTGGGACGGTTTGCCTTGATCCTGAGGCAACAGGATGCCACTGAGCAGCCTTATCCAGGGGGTAGTTATCTTGGATTAAAATACCACCATGGCTACCGAGGGAAGAATTTGGAGTAGACAAGGTTAGAGAAGGAACTGCCTAGTTGTCTCCAAGAGGCAAGATATGGACTCCAACCTGGAAGGGGGACAGGGTAGAACTAAACAATAGGATTTCAGAGTCACTAAGGAGGTGGCTTCCTCAGGACTTGGACTGGTGGTGTCAAGGGTTGGCACTGAAGATGGCATTGGTGGGTTTGGGGTGAGGTGGGGGAATTCAGCATAGAAAGCTCTGGAGATTCCCAAAGTAAGCTACTGAATATGCTGACCTGGGTGGGGCTCAGCAGATAGGCTCAGGCTCATGGCAAAGAACTGAAGAACTTTAACGTTGGGTCACACTCTGGAGAATATGCTCCTCAACGAGGCTGGAAAGGCACAGTTAGAAGCCAGGAAGAGGCAGGGCAGCAAGGGAGAAAAACCAGACTAACCAACCAACCAAATGAACAAACTCAGACACATGGGACTTGAGAGAAATAAGAAAATTTCGTGTATCCAAAGACAATAACAAGAGTGAAAAGACAATATAAAGGACAGAGAAAAAACCCTAATTAAAAGATAGGCAGATATTTGACTTGATAGGCATGTCTTCAAAGATGTCATATATGATCTTGGTGTTTAAGATTTATATGTAAAAAAGAAGCAGCTATATAAATGGCTAATAGGCACATTAAAGATGTTCAACATCACTAATTATGGGGGAAGTGTAAATGAAAACTATAGTGAGATACCATCTCATACTCAGAATGGTTACTATTTAAAAAAACAAAACAAAACAGGGCTGGGGAGATGGCTCAGTGAATAAAGTGTTGCCATGCAAGCGTGAGGACCTGGGTTCAAATCCCGCAAACCCATGTAAAGCTGAGTGCAGCAGTGTACATTTGCTTCTGTGGTGAGACAGGAGGTAGAAATGGGAGACTCCTGGAAGCTTGTGGGTCAGTTAGCCTGGTGTATTCCATTGATTAACAACAAGAGACCCTGTTTGACAACAAGGTGGAAGGTGAGGACTGACGTCCAAGGTTGTCTTACAACTTCCGCATGTGTACCATGACCATTTCGTACCATGGCACAAGAGTGCCTGCATTCACAGACATCAGTGTGAGCACACACACAATGTAGAGATGTAGGAATGGAAAACTACAGTCTCTGTGGAAAATAGCATGGCTGTTTCTTGAAAGACATACACACAAAATAGAATTACTATATGATCCAGCAATTCCACTTCTGGGTATATATCCAAAAGAATTGAAAACAGGATCTCTTAGAGGTATGTATGTGTACACTGAGAGTCATAGCATCACTGTTCATAGCAGCTAAAACCTGGAAGCAACCCATGTTTATTGGTGAATGAATGGATAAATAAAATGTGGTGATATGTGAGTGGAGTATTATTCAGCCTTAAAAAGAAATTCTGATACATGCTGTGGCATGAGACATGCTTAGTGAAGTAAGCCAGTCCAAAAAAGACAAATACAGATTCTTAAGTGGTGTTGCCACCAGCAAGTTGCCCTTGCTCAAGTAACCTCACACCTATACTCATGTAAGCAACTCTAATTAAATGCAGTGAGGCATGTGCACACTCCTGCCCATGCAAAGGACGGGAGTAGGAGGGAGACTTGGCAAGAAGGGTTTCAGTGGGAGGGGGAGACGGATAAGAGGCTAATGGGGGCTATGACACATGATCAAAGTACATTATGAGTTTGTGAAAGAATAAATTAAGAAAAAAAGAGGTAAATACTGAGGACCCCAATTGCAAGGCACCCAGAATAGTCAAAGTCATGGAGACAGCAGAGTGGGCCAGGGAGAGGACTGAGGAGTTTGGGCTTTCTAGGTGTTCAGTTCTATAAGATGGAGAGAGTTCTGGAGATGGGTAGTGGATGGTTGTCAAGATATTGAGTTATCACCAAACTGCACTTTCCACGGTTAAGGTGGTAAGTTCAATGCTATTTGTATTTTACCACAATTAAAAAATTTTCAAGCAAAGAAGGAAGCTCGTGAAAAGACTGGAAAGGGCAACTTCAAGCAAGGGGAGGGGGCTACCCGCTGTGCACCGAGGTAAATGCTTCAGAGCCGTGCAGATGAAGTGCTGCTGTGCCCAGCCACAAGAAGACTTGGCAGAGCACATGGCGTGTGCTGTGCTGGTGACAAGGAGCCACAGAGGACTGAGGAAAGAGGGGAGGGGAAGATGGGAGGCTGGTGTCAGATGTCTCAGGTCCAGGGCAGCTAGTGATCCTGCCCTGGAGCTGTCTCTGGCATGGGTGGAGGGAAGGGATGGGGAGGGTTGGGGGTCCTCAAGGAAGGGCCTAGGTATTCTCTGTCTGCACCCCAACTTATTCAGGTTGGGTCCATGCTTCCATCCATTCTCCAGGACAGACAACCTGAAGTCATTCCTGATTCCTGGACTTTCCCTCCCAGCACCCACCACCACTGGTCTCTAGACCCGCTCAGGCCAAAACCCCCTCTCAGCCTCCTTGGGCCTCTGCTACTACCCCCACAAATCTCAACATAAGAACAGAGCCTAGGGCTGGAGAGATGGCTCAGCAGTTAAAGACGCTGACTGTTCTTGCAGAAGACCTGGGTTCAAATCCCAGTACCCACATGGCAGCTAACAACTGTAACTCCAGTTCCAGGGGACCCGACAGCCTCTTCTGCCCTCTGTGGGCATTGCACAACATGGGTGCACTTACCTACACGCAGGCAATACATGCATACACATAAAATAAAAATATATAAAAAAGGAACAGAGCCTAGACCAGGTCATGTAAGCCATTTATTGATTCATTTGAAAAATAATGTATTTTATTTATACACGAAGTTTGGTGAGAAGTGCTAATTTTTTTCAGACAACACCTGACATGTACGCACATCTTTCCTTCCTTGTTTCTATTTTCTTCTTCCCTCCTGTCCATCACTGTGCAGTTCTAGAAAAAGGAGCCATGCTGAGCCAAGGAGTCGGGGCTAGCTTGCTCCTGTCCTCAGCCATTCCGTCTGCAGCCAGCCCCGGCCACCTGTCTCAAGGCTCCGGGGCTGTCCACACACTCCAAACCACAGTCTCCTTCCGGCCAGCTGGGATAGCAGCCCAGCCAGCCCCAGGGCACATTCCTACCTTGTGCAGCTGGTGGTGAGTGCCAGGGCGGGACACACACCTCTCCAAGCCTTGAGAGCAAAGCACAGATCTACAAAAATAAGATTTCCACTTGGAGAAGTGTCACTGGGACAGTTAAAACCAAGCCCCCCAATGGGAAATTGGAGACGTGTCCAGGGATGGGTGGGATGGGGGCTGGTTGCCACCAAGGGAACTGAGGTGACAAGAAGAAACATAATACTTTACTCGCCGACAGTGCCCCCCTTCAGCACTGCCACGAGCGTCGTGAACGTCCAGCCCTCTGAAAGCCGGCGAGGTAGGTTAGGAGCAGCCAGCCTGCGGTGGGCAGGCGAGACTGAGGTGGCCTGTGAGGTGGGTGCCCCCTGGCTGAGGGTGGCTCTGCTGGAGAGCTAGAATTGGGCAGCCGAGTTGAGTCCCTGCCTGCTCAGACTCCACCAGCTAATCCTGTCACCTCAGGGGTGACAGTTCTCTACATTAAAAGAATTGCATATGCTAAATAGGATTGTCAGCAGCTGAAGAGGTCAGTGGGGAGCATTGGACTAGTAAAAGTATTTTTTCCCTGAAAAAGCCTTCTCAGAAGACTCCTGGGATGGCCAGGTCCCTGCCCTCAGGAGTCCTACATGTGGGCATCCCTAGGCTCTGGGCTGAGCCCCAATGCCTCATTACCTCCTTTCACAATGGGATGCATGGTTCCCTCCAGGGTGTAGAATCAGACCTGACCATCCAGGGCCTTTCTTAGCCAGGACCATGCTGCCCTCCCACTTCTACACACTGTGTCTGTAGAGCTGGATCCCCTATGGGGATCCCATCCCCATGTGGTCAGAGGGAGAGAGATCCAGGGCAGCTTTGGAAATGGAGACCACTTCTTTTGGCCAGCTGGGCTGTGTGGCCACCATGGCTGGGCGCAGTTCAACAGCCCACATGGAGCAGCCTTCTCATCCATTGGCCTGTGGAGAGGGACTGCCAGGTTCCAGGTGTGCCTGGTTGTTAGCGGGGCTGGCTCCTTTGGGCTCCAATATTAATACTCTTAGGAGAGAAGAAAGGGCAGTTTCAGTCTCTGTGACCTGGGCTGCTCTTCTGGAAGTTTTTTATTTTTGTAGCACTGACCTTGGCGCAGCCTGAATAAAAAGAGGAAAATGGAACCCTGGGGACAACAGGAGCCTAGAATGAACCCATTGGAAGAACCCCAAGCACGTGGGCTGGGAGGAAAGGCCTGTCTCCTTTCCAAACACTTGCCTGAGGGGAGCCTGGGCTCCTGTGGCCTTCGTCTGGTCTCTGTGTATGAGGAGTGTGTGCACACATGTGTGAGCGAGGACCTTCAGCCTTCCTGGCACCTCAGCCCTAGTGGTGGAAGCCTTGTTCCTCTCTGGTCACGAACGCCTGGGGAAGCCACACAGGATCCCACTTTGGCTTTGAGGGCAGAGTTCAGCAGCTCCACAGATATGCTTGTTCAGGGTTAAGAGGGGGCAGTGTGAACTGCTGCGGATGTTCATGGAAAAAAATGTTCTTTGCTCAGGTAAAAAAATATCAAATATAATAAATTTATGAATGCCCCAGTCACGACATGTATGGGCTCAGGTTTGTATTTTGCTTCAGTGGCTGGGATGGAGTTGCTGTTCAGAGCTGCAGGGTGCTTGCTGCCTGAGCAGACCAGGCTACTAGGATGTGTCTGAGCTTCAGGGACAGGCTTCCACAGACAGGGGTTCCTTTAGCTGCTTCTGGCTTCAATGCCATGCCACAGAACTCTGCCGTGTAGATCCTCAGGACTGAGGCTCTTCTGTTACCTCCAAAGCCCACAGCCAGGTAGGCCCCAGCTGGCGCTGGTTTTGACTACATTCAGGTTTGTCAGGATGCAACAGGGTGTGTCCTGGCCAGCTGAAGCCAGTCTCATACTATAGACTCACGGTCCCTGTCTGGGGATGGAGGGAAGTCGGCGAGATCTTCACTGCGGCTGTAGTCAGATGCACGCACAGGGAGGTTATCGCTGGTGGCCCTCGTGATGCTGTCGTAGGAGGGGGGGAAGGATGTGGAGGAGATGGAGGAGCTGGAGGGTGGGCCACTGTGCCGGGAGAAGTTTTCATTCATCATGTAGGCAATGAGGCCTTCCCGCTCTGGGGCGTCCTCATCTGACAGGCCGCTGCTGCCTGCTTGCTGGCGGTAGAGGAAGGAAGCATGTTTCACTGAGCGCTGCAGCAGGTGCCTCCGGAAGGCCCGTTGGATGACGGTAGCAGATACCTCCTCATGCTTGCGCCGGAGGGTGGTAGTGATGGGCTCGTAGGAGATCTTGGATGGGTTGGCTGCCATAAACTTCTCCTCCATTTGGATCTTTAGGGCATCCATCTCCCCAGATTCCCCCAGCACCCTCTTAGTGAAGGCAAACAGGATGTCCATACAGTGGATACGGTCCCCACTTACCATGGGCAGGTCCATGTTGATGAGGCTTATCTGGTTGGGCTTGGCTATACGGAGAGGCTCAGACAGGGCATCAGCAAAGTCAGACAGGGCCAAATACTCAATGAACTGAGTGGCCTCTGGATCGAACTTCTCCCAGATCTCATAGAACATGTCAAAGTCATCCTCGCTTAGGGGCTCAGTGCTCTCCTCTGTGGCCACGCTGAAGTTCTCTAGGATGATGGCAATGTACATATTGACCACGATGAGGAAGGAGATGATTATGTAGGTGGTGAAGAAGAGGATGCCCACTGCTGGGCTCCCACAGTTTCCCCGGGAGTCATTGCTGTTGGGCACATTGGGGTCACAGTAAGGGGGTCCTGTGTTGAGGATGGGACTGAGGAGGCCATCCCAGCCAGCTGATGTGGTGATCTGGAAGAGGCACAGCATGCTGTTGCCAAAGGTCTGGAAGTTGAACATGTCATCGATGCCTGCTTCCCACTTGACGTAAGCAAAATTGGCCATGCCGAAGATAGAGTAGATGAACATGACGAGAAACAGCAGGAGCCCGATGTTGAAGAGGGCGGGCAGGGACATCATGAGGGCAAAGAGCAATGTGCGGATCCCCTTGGCCCCACGGATAAGCCTGAGGATGCGGCCGATTCGGGCCAGGCGGATGACTCGGAAGAGGGTCGGGGAGAAGAAATACTTCTGGATGATGTCAGAGAGGACAGTGCCTGTGGGAGACAACTGAGACTGTGGCCACCCATGGCACCCCTGCCCTCCTTTCTGACCAGCTTCATTGGGGTTGTTGTCTCTGTATAGAAGACTGTTGCACAAGACCAGGTGAATAGTACATGCCAGGATGTAGCCTCCTCTCCCTATGACCCAGAAGATGAAGACCCACATCCTTTGCAAAGTGCCTTCTTAGCCTCATTATTCTAATTCTCAGGACATACCAGCACAATGTAAGTGTACCAGGCCATCTTCTATACTTGGTTCTAAGACCAGAGGGGACTCAGCACTTTAGCAACCCAGCAAGGACCAGTGCGCAGGTCTTTGGGTACTTTACGGCTTATAGAGTGGTCTAAGGACCAGCAGCTTTTGGATCTCCTAGAGGCTTATTGGAAATGCAAAACTCTCAGCTCCACCCAAGCCCATTTCCTCTTAACAAACTCAGGTGTTATAGGTACACACCAAAGGCCAAGAAACAATGGTACAGGTTTGGTGCTGTCCACACCAGGCCAAGGCTCAGGGTCTTGTCTTGGCCTCTCTGTGATGGTTCCTATTACTCTTCAACTCTGTTTCCTTCTAGGGCTTTTCCACCTTGGGATCTCTAGTGACCACCTGGGTTTGGAACTTTAAGGAACACAGATATAAACTACAGGAGAAAGAGTGAAATAAACTTGCCTCCAATGGGTTCAAAGGACCTTTCCTAACTCCTCATATCATAATGATGGTGCTGGCTGACATGTGTCAAGAGGGCGCAGGACAGAGCACTTTGTAGCCATTATTTCCTTTAGACTTACCATTACCCTGGGAAAGTGAGCTGAGAGCATCATCTTCCCTTTCCAGAAGAGGAAACTGAGAGGTGAGGTAACTTACTCAGATTGCCACCTAAGTGAGAAGCTGGGATGAGACCTAGACACTCTGGCTCCAAGGTGGGTGACCTCTTAGCCACACTCTGGGACAGCCCAGCACTGGGCTCAGCAGGTGATCCTGCAGTACATGATGTACCTCCCGAAGCCTTTGAGACTTTTCCTCAGTGGTCCACTCTGGCTGTTCACATTCAGTATCCCCTAACACTCCTCTCTAGCCCCATGGGACAGACTGTCACCCTCACCTCCACTAGGGGCCTCAGGGCATTCCTGACCTTACCCCATCCTTCTAACCACCTGCCCATCACTGCAGCGATAGCAGTTCCTGCCTTAGCGTCTTTCTGGTTCACCAGAGGCCAAAGATGTCTATGGCAGAAAGACAAAAGTCAGGTGACTCCAGAGGCAGAATTACTCATGGGGATGGGGGAGGGGGGGCAAGTATTTTGGCTCTGGCCATAGCAGCAGAGAAAAAGATCTAGGTCAAAATTAGCCTTCATCAAAATTAAAAACGTTTTTTTTTTTTTTTTTTTTTTTTAAACACTTGGGTTTTAACAGGCTCTACCAAGAGATAAAAGCAGCATGGAGGGGGAGGAACTACTCTCAAGTCACATATCTGATAAGGGATTAGTATCCTAAAATAGATGGACTCTTGCAGATTGCCAATAAAAAGATAAATACCCCAACTTTAAAACCGAGCAAAGGATTTGAATAGTGATTTCTTTAGGGGAAATCAACAAATGATCAATAAGCACACAAAAAGTTATTTGGCACCGTGAGCCACCAGAGAGTTAGAAACCCAAACCTGAATGAGATGGCACCTCATACCCACCAGGAAGGGTAGACTCATTATAGAAAACAGGTCACAGGCGTTGGTGAGCAGGTGGACTAATGGTAACTCTCATCACCGATGGTGAGTGTACAAAATGGTGCAGTCATTTTGGAAAAATGGTTTGGCCATTCTTGAAAGTTTCAGATGAATGGTTGTCAGGTACTGAGGGAGAGTAGACATGGAGAGGGACTATCAAGTGAGCAGAGTTTCTCTTGGGGGTGAGGAAGAAAGAATTCTAACATTAGATAGTGGCGATGGGTGCCCAGCTGTGATAATCCAGCCATGTAGCACATAATGACCTTCAAGGCAATGATCATATAACATGACAATGGTTCTACAGGATTATATTGCCCAATGACCCTGTAGCTGTCTTAGTTTGTGTTAGGTAAATTCTGTGATGCTCACAAAATGATGAAATTGCCTAATGACACATTTTTCAGAACACATCCCAGGTGTTAAGTGACGCATGATACTATTGAAACCCACAGGTTTTACACTATCAAGTGAATTTTAAGTTAACTTTCTCTGAATTTTATGGTACATGAATCACATCTAAGAATGTGGGATCTGGGGCTAGACAAACATGGGGAGGATCCTGTCTGTGCTGTCCCTCCTCAGTGCTCACTTTACAAGGTGAATTCTGCAAGAGGCCAACACACATTTTGGTAGCTAGATTTTAGAATTTTCTATGTCCAAGAGATGATGGCCATCTTCAACATTATCAGGCTATTTACCCCTCATTCTTGGGGACTCAACTTACCTCCTATTCCTTCAACCTAGTGTGCAAGCTTTCCTTTGTAGGGCAGGCACCTCCACAGTGCCCATTTATTTTTCTGGCCTCATCCTTTAAGCTCTCTGAGAAGCAACAGAGCTGTGTCCCAGGGTTCTCTGGAGGGTAGGGTCAGGATGGGATGCTGGGTTCTCTGCCAGATGGGCCCCTTTGACCTGAGTGGGCTTTCCTAATACAAGCTGTCTTTGGAGGGATGTATAGGTATGTGCTCATGAGTATGCATGTGTTGGAGAGGAAAAGAGAGGTAAGGAATATGGGGGAAAAGTGGGGGGAGCCTAGGTTTACACTTGGCATTGAGTAGAGAATGGAGGGCTGCAGCAGGGCCCTGGTGTGGGGAGAGCTTCTGTGTTCAGCTGACTTGTATACCCACCCACGATGGAGAGGATGACAACCACGAAGTCAAAGATGTTCCAGCTGTTGGTGAAGTAATAGTGGCGCAGGGCAGCCATCTTGACAATGCATTCGCCTGTGAAGATGGCCACGAAGAGCAGGTTGATCTTGGCCAAGATGTTGACCTTCTCAGGGCTCTGGTCATCTGTCTCTACCATCATGGTCACCATATTCAAACAGATAAGGAACATGATGGTGACGTCGAAGGCCTGCTTGGTCACAATGTCGAATATGAAGCCCTGGTATTTATTCTGAAAGGAAGGGCACATGGGCTCACTCATTACAGCAGGGACCTCAGAAGAGCCAGCAAGCCCCCTTTGCTGCTTCTCAGCCTAGACCACATGTCTCCTTCTCACCCTTTTGGAGGCTTTAGCACCCACAACTGAAGGGCACATGCAGAGGAGGAAGCCAGCTGCCTCTCCTACCTGCATATCCCAAGGGGTTGAGGCCCAGCCCTAAGGCTCCCTCTTCCACCAGGCTATCCTGATGGGCCTTCAGGTAGAGACGTCTCTTTTCCTGGGTCTCCTTAGCACACTTGCTGCTGTCTGCTCTTTGGTTTCATAGTCTAAAGGCTCAAGGTCAAATTTAAACTTTAATCCCAGCAATTGTATCAGCCTTCAAATTAATATATTTTCTCTATTAATGCTTTCTGTGGAATTAATGTGATTTAATCTACCACATAAAATTATTTTATGTGTATGCATGTAATACCTGCACATATGTAAGTGCACCTGTGTCATGCAATGCCCGCAGAGGTCAGAAGAGGATGTCGGATACCTTAGAATCACAGTTATGGACGGTTGTTAGTCATCATGTGGGTGCTGGGAACCAAACCCAGGTTCTCTGCAAGAGCAGTCAGTGCTCTTAACTGCTGAGCCATCTCTCCAGCCCCATAAAATTATTTTATATCTAAGTGTATTTTATTTTTTATTTACTTATTATTTTTATGTGTATGAATGTAGGTAAGTGCACCATGGGTGTGCAATGCCTGTAGAGGCCAGAAGAGGGTGTTGGAGCCCCGGAACTGGAGTTATGGACAGTCGTTAGCTGCCATGTGGGTGCTGGGAATTGAACCCTGGTCTCTGGAAGAACAGCAAGTGTTCTTAACCACTGAGCCAGATGGCTCGCCAGCCTCAATTCTTTTATTTTTAATAATTTGTTTATGTGTGTGTCTGTGTGTTGGTACATGCACCTGCAGAGTCCAGAAGAGGGCGTCAGTTCCCCTGGAGCTGGAGTTATAGGCAGTTGTGAGTCACTTGATGTGGGTGCTGGCAACTGAATTTCTGTCCTTTGCAAGAACAGCAAGTGCTCTTAACCACTGAGCCATCTCTCCATCCCCCTATGTGTCTTTAACTGTAAAGGAGTTGAGATTATTTGGAGAAGAGACAGACTTACAAATAAGTGTGCATGCACACACACCCCTAATCTAACCTAGGAGAGAACAGGATGAATAGGGAAGAATCAAATGAAAGGGTTGGAAAAACTGGGCCTGCCACTAATTAGCTAGTGGTTTAGGTTATCTTAGTTACTTACTTTGAATATTCCCTCATCCCACTTTTTGTTTGTTTTTAAGATAGGGTCTCTCTATATAGCTCTGGCTGTCCTGAAACTCACTCTGAAGTCTAGGCTGGCCTTCAACTTAGAGTGATTCTCCTGCCTCTGCTCCTGAGTACTGAAATTACAGGCACACTCAGCTCCCCATTCCACTTTTAGAAGACTGCCTTGCTGAGGTTAAGGAAGCCAGGCTGGTTGAGAGCCTAGCACCCATTCTGGCTCTGCTCATGAAGGGATCCTTCTGACCCCCAGTGTTCTCAGGATGAGACTATGAGTGGGAATGGGGCTATGCAAGCTGCCTACTCTCCCTGGAAAGAACCTGCACCCTTGAAAGGATGGAGGGCTCACTGGAAGCAGAAGAGTTCCTATGAGAATACACAGTTTCTGCTAGATGCTACAGCCTCTGGTGCCTTCCCCATTAGCTGTGCGAGCCTGAGACCTCTGTATGGGTGAGTCATCTGAGAGAGCACCTCTCAGCTGGACAGAAAACTGTGAAGAGCTCCTGATGGATGGCTGTGAGGCAGGATCCCATGACCCCTGAGAAGATCCTCCCCACTCTGCCAGAGAGCCTAGCTCACCAGGGGCCGAGGGATGGGTTTCTGGGGCTTCTTGGAGCCCAGCTTCTTCATGGCATTGTAGTATTTCTTCTGTTCCTCTGTCATGAAGATGTCCTGACCCCCTAAGTATAGAGAGATAGCACCAGGATCATTTTGGGGTTCTTGGAATCCCAACATGGAAGACATAGGGATTTTTGCCTCCTGAACGAGGGCAACAGGCTCAACTACTTTGTTACTACCTGTCCCAAAGCTGGATTTGGAGATTCTTCCCCAAATCTGCCTTTTCAGGGTCCATGCCCTAATACCTGGTAAGTCCCTTTGGTTTGTAGTCTGAAGATCCAGTGTCCACCTGATCCTCTCCCTGGTCCAGCTCAGCCAGGCCTGGGCATCTCTACCTATCTGGTTTGGCTGCAGCCTAATCTTGTATTCTCTGGTTGAGATCCAGGGTGACCTTGGGCCTCTACACAGCTCCACCCCATGAACCCTGATCTTAGACCAGGTGAATCGTCCCAACTTTCACCTAGACATCTCAGGAGTCTCATGTCTCAGCTAAATGAAGGCAGGCACAGGGCCCCCCCGACAAAGTCCTTCCTTCCATTCTTCATGGCCATGGACACACCCCTCCCCACCTGATTCTATCAGGAGAAATAGGAGGACCATTCCCAAGAGAGTAGGTGAGATGGGGCCCCTGGTACCCTGTCCTCCTCTGCCCTCCCTAGCCCAGGGGGAACCAGGGCTCTACGTATCTTTTTCTTCTGTTGGTTGAAGTTATCGATGATGACACCAATGAACAGGTTCAGCGTGAAGAAGGAGCCAAAGATGATGAAAACAACAAAGTAGATGTACATGTAGAGGTTGTACTCCCACTGCGGTTGCTCCTCATACTGCAGGGGAGAAATCGGACAGGGAGGGTCAGATAGGTAGGGATGTGGCGGTGGCAGGGGCCGTTCCACAGGGGAGAGGGTGTATCTGAAAGGTCACCAGCCCAGGTGTGTGTGGCTGTGATCACAGAGTTGGGGCGGATAGATGTGAGGGGAGAGGATGTTGGGAGGCAAGAACAGCTGGCATGCTAGGCTCAGCGCTGATCCCATGTCAGTGTGCTGCAGCTGCTGGGCCAATGGAAGGTTGGGTTATACTGGGTGACACTGGGGCCTCTTCCCAGTCTTCACTGAATTATCAGTGTGACTAGGTGGGGAACAAGGATCAAAAACTTGATCTGTATTACCGATGCTTCCTTCTGGTTCTCCTGGTAAGAGTGGGGTAATTGCAATGAGTTTCATTTGGAACACATTTAAGAATGTGGGGGCTCCATGAGCGATCAGACAGCTTTGTTCGAGCCAGGCCTGGACATTCCAAGAGGCTGAACCCCAAGTTGATCCAAGAGAATCTTGCCCTTGAAGGCTGGGCTTTTAAGCCAAGAAGCCAGGAGGTCTGGTGACTGTTTTGTTGGGAGAAGCTGATGGTAACTTACCCCTCTGGAGTCCACAGCTGCATACATAATGTCCATCCAGCCTTTAAATGTTGCCTGGGGGGAAGAGAGCATGAAGAAAGTCATCCAACCTGACCCACTCTGCCTCCACTACAATGGGCTCCTTGTCTCGATGAGGCCAGCAAAGAGCCTCTTACAAGAAGGAAGCAGGCCCCAGCCTAGCTGTTTGGTAGTGTCCAAATGTCTGGGCAGTCCACAGAAAGGCCTTGTTTAGGGCTGGGGTGGAGGAGAAGCAGCTGAGCAGACCCCTCAAGGAGGAGACATTAGGCTTTTCAATGGAGGTCTTGAGTCTCTTGAGGCCTGGGGGAAGTCCATTTCAGATTCTAACACAGCACAGGATGCCAGAGGTCAAAATCAGGTGTCTTCTCCAACTGCTTCTTCACCTTACTTTTTATTACATGTGTGTGTGTCTGTGTGTGTGTGTGTGTGTGTGAGAGAGAGAGAGAGAGAGAGAGAGAGAGAGAGAAAGAGAGAGAGAA